AATGTTCTAAGAGGAAAAATGAAACAATTAACTACCACTGTTTTGAAAACTGGCTATTGGAAAGATTAAGTCTGGTGACTCACAGTAACTAAACTTCTCAAAAAACAACTAAAGTTCTGCCTTGCTCATTGTCACTGGATCCAATCTCATTTGTCCCCTTTGCCCCCTCTGATCGCTGTACAGATGCTACTTTATCAGGAGAGTCTCCCTTGGCCTCTCTACACAAACACACATTATTCACATCCCTCTTCTGCCACTAGGTGCTGCATTTTCCCAAAGAAGTTCCCACCAAACATACTCTGTGTTTAATTACTTATATGCTGTCTCCACCAATGAGAAGGAAAGACCCTGGCAGAACTTAGGCGGTTTGAATGAGAAATGTCCCCCATAGCTCATATATTTAAACACTTGGCCCCCAGGTGGTGGCACTGTTTTGAAGGTTTATACCTGGCCTCACTTCCTGTTCACTCTGTGTGCGTCCTGTGTGATGATGAAAATGTGACCAGCCAGCTTCCTGCTCCTGTCCATGTCTTCTCATCTGTTGCCATGTATTCCCTGCCAAGAAGATCTACCTCTCTTGAACTACTAGCTAAAACAAACCTTTTCTCCCAAAGTTGCTTTTCATATGGGTATTCTCTCACAGCAATGGAAAAGTAGCCAATACAGGCACAAAGAATTATGTGTCTTGCTCATGGCTGTGTTGTAAGATTCTAAAATAGTATTGAATGGCTGCTCTAGTTTCTCTTCTGTTGCTGTGAAAAAAACACCCTCACAAAAAGCAACTTTGGAGAAAGGGGGTTTATCTTAACTCACCACTTCAGGTTTCAGTCCACTACTGCAGAACACAGCAGCAGAGCTTGAGCGAACTGGTCACGCCACAACCACGGTCAGCAGAGACATGAATGCACACATGTTCACTTGTTTGCTTTCTTGGCTCAATCTTTCCATTCATATAGTTCAGGAACCCCTTCCAAGGGAATGGTGCCACCCAAAATGGGACAGATCATCCCATAACAAATATCTAAGACAATCCCCCACAGACATGCTCATTGGCCAACCCAATGAAGACAATCCTTCATTGAGAGTCTCTTTCTCAGGATTTTCTAGATAACATCAAGTTGAAAACTAAAAGTAACCATCATAACACCTGACCATCAATAAATAACCTACTTATTGAATAAGTAGAAAAAGTCACTGTATATACACTATTATAAAATGAAATCTAAGGTTCAGTTCATAAAACAAGCAAAATGCATCAGATAATATTGTATGTTCTTCCATTTATGTAAAAAACAACAGGAGGCCTATAATTTACATGCATGCTTCTATTTGCAGATAATACTTCTGGAAAATTACCTCTTAGGAAGAGAATTGGGGAGTAAGCTAGGAACACTCAGACGCATGTATGTGCCCATGTACATACACTGCTATTCAAAGGCATTACATGAGGCTTTGCTTTATCAATTAGAAACATACAGCATAATCCTTCATAAATCTATTAACTCACTCTTACAGTGAGTATATGCTGGTTAACTTATACATGAACTAAGATGTAATTATCTAAAAAAAATGTAAAGTAGAACTATTTGTTTTACAGTGCTTTCAATATATAGAATAAACGTATACTTATTACCTCTCTTCGGTATCTGTGGAATGGAAAACTCACAAATGTTTAAAAAGCCTGACTAATTACAGCACAGACAGAAAAGCTGCTCCGGTCTTCTGACTCTTGGTCTGCTACTCTGCTCAGGACAGCATTTGGTGAGCAAGGCTCACAATGGAGATTTCATGTCAGTGATGAAAGAAAACGTACCTCACAATGATAAAGATAAAACTCAACAACACTGTCAATTTGCTTTCATTTTAGAGCAGGTTAGTGTTCTTAGCATAAGACTGAACAGGAGACACTACTGTGAAGAATACTATGAGCCATAATAACAGGCAATTCTTAAAAGGTCAGATATTTCACAGGTTGAAAATGTAGCCTAACAAGACTATTACTACGGCTGTTCAACCAAGAACAGCTACTCAATATATGCAGAGAAGATAAATATATGTTGTGTCTCAGTCTATCAAAGGGTTTCACACAAAATGCTAATTTTGGAAATATCAAAGTGAAGCCTGTTCTCTTATAGGAGAGTTAAACATGTCTTAGAAGTAGGAAGGCATTCTGTGGCTAACTTCAGCTCTAGACACATAGATCTGACATACAAGCAGGCCTTTCATCAAAATCACTGTATTTGGTCCAAAGTTGTCATAAAACAAACAAGTAATTCTGGGGTGAAAAGAAAGTCTAATTCCTCAATTAACAGATACTGAGATAAAGCTTATTGTGTTCTACTACTAGACAGTTAATAAACTAAAAAAAAAAGTGTTTAATAAACGAATAGTAAAGCCAGAGCTTATGTTTCCTTGGTTACCAGAAAACCCTGATGTTTGCAGAACTACACAAGGGGAGTCTACACAGAGCCCACACTCCTAACCTGACTCAGAGGGTTCAGTGTTCTAATCTCAGGAGCTATGTAACTGATGTCCAATACACGTAAGCCCTCAGTTCCCTGAGAGGCTGCCCTTTCCTCCCTGAACACTATCCTTCTGCTTTAATGTCTCCTACTCTACAGAAGGGAGGGAGATGGACACAGAGATACAGGTAGGTAGACAGACAGACAGATGACAGGTATACTGAAATCTGGAACACATGACACTGTCTCTTCTCCCAATGTCCCTTCTTGTACTCCTGTCCCTCAGGCCCTCCTGCCTCACACACAGTCTAACTTAGTTTACAATGCTATTCATTAAACGATGCTTAAATAGTCATTTTGGGGAAAACCGTTTAAGCCTTATACTTTTTATTTTCAATGAAACTGAAAATATATATTATAAACACTAGTTGAAAAAGTCAAAGAATGCAAAATTTTCACCAATACAGTGGAAGTATTAACAACAAGAACTGTGCATCAGATATATTCCTTCCTCATAAATATACTGCAAAGCATTTAATCGACATCAGTTTGTGGGAAATCTTAAGTAATTTGTAAAATATTAGCCTATTATTTTAAACTATATATAACATACAGTGTTACTTTTGAAAACTTGGTGAATTTTTCAATGAAAGCCTTACTAAATTTTCATTTTGGTTTGCTTTGATTTGAGATGGTGTTTTCTCATATTTCCTAGGATGTCTCCATCTTGCCTAAGCCTCTCAAGCATTGGAATTAGAAGTGCATACCACCACCACATGGCAAATTTTTAATTTTTAATTAAAAACTTACTAAAGGCATTGTTTCAATGAGTAGATAAGAGATACTTATAATCACTATTTCAATTACTGAAAATAAATTGAAGACAATAAAACAGGCAGCACTATTTAAAACTAGCAAGGTAGTATCATTGGTTATAAAAATCATATAAATCATCTAAGAAAAGAGATTGATGGTATGAAAGAGCAATTTGCTTTCTTAAACTTTATTGTCTATTCTCTATGAAAATATGTTTATTCAATTGAATTGATAAACATCTTTTCTTTGATAACTTAAGAATTAAACTCTAAAGGTTCAGAAATTCTTAAAAGCCATGCTTTTAAATTATAGCTATCCATTGGGAATAGCTATTATCTGGCAACTTGAATAACTACTTTTTATTCTACCACACTAATACTAGTATAAGTTATATGCACATTAAATTACTTAAAATAAACTATGAAGTATTATAATCTAAGACTGTCAAAACATCAAGTAATTAAGTAGCCAATTCCACACTCATATGCAGGCAAAGAAATATTACAAATAATAATCAAACAAAAAATAAAAGGTTTTCAAAAGCCAAGTGAAAGAAATGAATGTGAATTCTTCTGAAAGAGTATGTATGTCCAAAAGGTATCAAGAATCATAAAGGAGAAGAAAGAATCCCATGGACCTTTGCTCAGATCCTGACAGAAAGCATGATACTGGAGAACAGACCATAATTTGCAAAGTGATGTGTATATCAGCAAAATTCAATTGATAACAAAAGCAGCAATAATTATAATATTCAAGTACTTCATATTCATTTCTATGAATATGTTGTTGCAGTTTTAAGTATGGTCTGTGGAGACATTTGGATCTACTTAACACATTATATTATTTAAAATAACAAACTGCAAAGTTACTAAAATGCTGACTATAAATTCTTTAATCAAAATACTTCCATCTATGGAATACATCGAGCTGTCCAGAGAAAACAATAAACACTTACCTCAGAATTTTTCAAGCATTGCACTCCTGAAATTTTGGCCTGGATAGTTTTCGCTGGGCATATGAATAAAAGGACTATTCTATGCATAATAGGAGGTTTAACGGGTTCTATATAGTATCTACTGGTCACTGTAACATAAAAGTCTAGAAACTCTGCCACATGTCCCCAACATGTCCCCAGTGAGCAAAATTGCTCCAACATAGATGACCGATAGATGAGGTAGGTAGGTGGGTGGGTGGTTGGATGGATGTATAGATTAGATAGACAGATTGATATATACTAGGCATTAAGCAGGTAAAACTAAAATTAAAGTGAATTTTAAGTTTGTAAATCTGAACAAATAAAGAATGAAAATTTAAGCTAAATCATTTTTTATACTGTGAAAAAAAGTAAACACACTATCAATCTAAAGCAGACAGAGTTTCATGGTTCTGAACAAACAATAACTTTCTCCTCATTCTTACTTCTATCTTGAAATGAAACCCTACCTTCCTGCTGCCTCCCAGGAATAAAAACAACTGCAGTCTGTCCTTCCAGTTTTGAAGGAAGAGAAGCGCTTTCTGTCCTCTGACTCTATGGGTGGCTCCTGAAGTGCTCTCCAGGTGACCTGAGGTGACTGACAGGTAAGTCTATTCTGTACTTACAAATAAGTTTAATAGGACCTGCATGTTAACAAGAGTAATAATTTGTTACAGCAAACCAGAATGAGTTTCGTGTTCACTTATTACCCAGACACTCTGGTCGGTGCTGGATGCTCCAGAGCTTACCATTGATGTGACTGATCGTGCATCTTCTTCGTAATTCACCACGGGAGGCGGTTCTTTCCCATCATTTTCTTGTACTTTTTGCTCCAATAATTCTTTCTGTGCTGCACACTTTGCCTCAGTGCATCTCAACTGCTGGACTGACTGTTTCAACTCTTCAAGTGCCTGTTTTTGGCCCAGAAGCAGCACAATGCTACAACAAAATACAACAAACATATATTACTTCAACTCAACAAGAAGTAAAAGCAGCAATGGAAAAGTGTGTGTGTGTGTGTGTGTGTGTGTGTGTGTGTGTATGCATGTGTGCCTGTGGGTGTATTTGTGTCTCTGTATGTATATCTGTGTCTGTGTCTCTGTGTGTGTGTGTGTATGCATGTGTGCCTGTGTGTGTATTTGTGTCTCTGTATGTATATCTGTGTCTGTGTCTGTGTGTATATCTGTGCCCATGTGTATATGTGTATCTGTGTCTATGGCTATGTGTCTTTGTGTGTGTTTAAGTGTGTACGAGTGTCTATGTGTATGTGTGCCTGTGTGTGCCTATGTGTGTCTATGATGTGTATCTATGTGTGTCTATGTGTGTGTGCCTGTCTATGTGTGTATATGTGTCTGTGTGTTTGTGTGCAGATTACGCTTTTGTAAACTTTCATTTTCCTCCACAGCACTCCTTCACAATCATACAAAATATGAAAAGAGATTTTAATAACAATGGTTACTGGATGTCAGGATTAATAAAATGGAAATAAGTCATTCAAGACACTTTAAAATAAATTATGGTCTATGGCACTTACTTTCTTTTATACATAAACTGTCTACCTCACCAGGAGCTAGGTTTAGAAGTATAGGTCCTAAACAAATTGAAAAAAATGACAAAAATCAAAATATTAAGTTAACTTCAAATCTCAAGAATTAAATACTTAAAAAATATCACATGTTCCTGGGGTAAAATTAATAAAATTAAGGAGATAGCCTGTGCACTGAGCTGTATATTATGAGGTGTGTGTTTTGAGTCAGGGAACATTAACATGGCAGGGATTCAGACTTGACGATGACCGAGTGAGCTATGAAGTCTATGAATCTTTTTCCTATGAACAAAATGGAGATTTTCCCATCCCTCCTTTAGAGAGCTGGCCCTCAGGGCTCCCCACAGTGGGAACTGCAAGCTAATTTTCCCACATAAGGCCACCAGAAAGAAAGAAAAAGTGCTGGCAGGAATGTCTACCCCATAAGTATAAGATACTAATACCTTAAAAGTAAGTGCACCATGCACTGTGGTAAGTTATTAATAGATACAGATTGGACAACAGGAAATGCTTCTGAATTAGATAGTGAGGTAACTGTCTTACAAGATCACAACATACCCAGAACAAATACACAGAGCTAACCACACTCAACTATTTAGTTGTGTCTTCTGCTGTTTGGAGAACTCCGTCCCAATCTAACTGAGCAGGGCACAACCTCAGTGATCGTAAGGAAGAATGGTGGGACCCTCAGTAACAGTTCAAGGCATTTCAGAGAACAGTGTGAAGTTGGGGAAAACAGACTTATGATAAAGAACATTTGGAGAAGACCTAGAAATGTCCAGAGGACAGACTGCTCTAAACGGCAGAATTTAATAAATGATAATTACCATGTACATCATCATCATTCAGTAAATCTGTGACCTATTTTTAAAATCTGTACAGATTTCCTGGTAAATTCATGCTGGCTTGCGTATTAGTTGGTAATTGCTTTTCTGCAATTAATTGGCACTTCTGTTTCTCAGAAAATCCATTCAGAGAATGTTAATTTTTAAGACAATCATTTTTGTGAGAAAAAATACTAGGAGACCCTGGAAAAGATTACATTACTATACTTTTTAAACTTTGTGGGGGTTTCTTTCTGACACACATTCCAAAAGCAAAGTACCACAGAAATCATGACTACAACAACAGTACAAGAAATTATTCTAAATATATCAGGTAAAATGTCATAATACATTCTCATACATATCCAGAAGATTATTCAAAAATGATTTGTCACAGATAGGCAAAATTATTTGATAGGCTTAAAAGTAATACTCTAAGTGCACTGAATCAGGAGTCTTACATAAAGGTTAACAAAAAAATGCAAGAGAAAGTAACTAAGAAGGGGTAATTGCACAGGGCAAGAGGAAGGAAAATACACTTTGCAATAATGAAATGCAAAATTATATATAAGGAATAATAGTTGCAAAAAGTCAATGTTAACCAAATAACCAAACAAAGAAAATTAACTGTGCATTTATAGGAACAAACTCACACAGACTGTGGTAGCAGGCTCAGGACTACACAGATTCAAGCTGACAGGGTCCCAGAGAGGGGGAAATGGGCACGGGTTCACCGGTAACCAAGAAGCTACCTGTAATTGGAACCCATCTGCAAAGAAAAAATTACTTTTCTCCAATAAAATCTCACTGGGTATAGTAACCACACTCCAGGGTAAAGAACCCTTGGCCTGGGTCTCTGCATTACAGCTTATAACCACGTGCTACCTGGTTGCAAAAGTAAGAAATAAATGGAATGACATAGCACTACTGCTACCTCACAGTGCCAGTATACTGGGCACTTCTGGTTCCGACATAAGCTAGGGATAAATCTTTTAAACATCCCTTCAGAAGCTGTGAATACTGGGAGTTTAAAGCACATATTAAATTCAAAGATGTAATTTAAGACCCTACTATATGCTGATAGGACAAGTAATTCTATTAAGTAAAAATTTATTAGGATTCTATTATTTAGAAATAATTTAAGAATATGAACAATAATAGAAAAATTTTAGAATTTCTGAAGAAATGTAATTTTATTGTTTTATTACTTTCAAATAACAAAGTATCTGAAGATAATAAAGTATTATAAAAATAAAGATAATACTTTTTCTAAAATAGAGTCTCACTATATAGTCCAGATTGGACATTTATGACCATACCTAGCCTTAAAAAGAATCCTAAGTTCATGTTTTTAACTACAAAATTTATTCTCATTACGTATGTGTATTTATATATAGATAGATGTCTAGACTTATATGTGGATGGATAGGTAGGTAGGTAGGTAGGTAGGTAAGTAGGTAAGTAGGTAGGTAGGTAGGTAGGTAGGTAGATATGGATGGCACAAACTAAGGACTTGCCCAGGAAATATTAAGGGAAAAAATATAAATGTATCACTGTAGAGTCCTATTCAGAACATCTCTTTAGCAAAAGATTTTAACATATAAATATGGAGGCAAAGTTCAGTCCACCAATTTCTGAATCACTGAGAGTTAGCAGTAACTGTTTAGTGACATAAATATACTCCATATTTTAACACTGTACGCTGACGCTAACAATAAGTACTCAGGATAACAAAGGCTACATGACTGGGCTCATTAGCCCTCACCCCTGAAAACCCGGCCATGCTAACCCTTCTAACTCCTAAAAATTCTATTAGCCTGCAGGGCCTCCGTGGGAGGTTGGGTGAAGTCCGAGGCCAGCTCCACCCCTACCTGTGGGTACCTCTGTTCCAGGGTGACCTGCCTGGACGAGCCTCGGTACAGGACTGGCATGTACCATGTACGTCCCCTGGGCTGAGATGCTGGAGGCCGATGCCCGAGGAGGCTGAAGGTCTCAGCTCCACAGCATCCAGCGCCGTGGGGGCCATTAACGGCACACGCCCTCACGCACGTGTGAGGCAGCATCGCGAACTGGAGGTGGAGAAATTTTCGAAGAAAAAAACAGAATAGGAGGGTGCCAAGGAGGAAAGAAGAAACACAATGCGGAAAAACCTGATCCAGGCAAAAGAAGAGAAAACTCTCACGCTCCTCCACGGTGAATAAAGACTGCAAAAGAGAACAGCCAGCCCCGCCCAAACTTTGGCAAAACTGTTATCAGGAAAGATTCAGGAGAAAGCTTGTGGAGGCGGGTATTTTTGTACAAAAAAAAAAGCCAAAACTTGGTGGCTGGGGAGACAGGGAAACGGAGTATAGATGAAGAGGTAAGAAAACTATCCAAGGCTTCTTAAGTAGTGGGGAAAGGTTTAACTATTTGGAAGCAACTTTTCTACGGTATTTTAGAAACGAACGTGGCATCACATGTCCATTGTAGAACAAGATGAATGGTGTTGACATTCACTCAAGAAAGACTACTGACTAGGAAGTTGAGGCTGCACGGGGGAGGGGGGGCATTAAGATTGATTCAGCTGTGGGCAGGGGAGATAATGAACACTTCTATGACATTCAAACAGGCACACCAAGTAGGCCAATCGTAAGTGATAATAATCAACATAAGTCATCTTCAAGCCATCTAGAGAAGAGGCACACTGCCTAGCAACATGCCTTCAGAAACTCCAGACTGGGTTGGCTGAGTGACAGAGAGGGAGCTAGCAAGAGAGACACCAACAGGGGTCATCTTGACACAGGAAAGACATCAGCAAAGTCAGATGTGATGAAGAGGTCTGGAAAGACAGCGGCCCTATTCCAGGCCATGGGTAATCTCCGAGATCCTTATTTCTACAATAATGGGGCAAAAGCTAGGTATGTGTGGGTTGAAAACTAAGTAGTAATCGAGGGAATGGGTGAGAACTACTGCTAGAATGAGTTCACACTCAGAGACGAGAAGACAGGGTAAATGGGGGATATACTGAGAATAAAGAGGGCTTCAGCAGTTGCAGGTACAGCTGAGTGGTGGTACAGCATTGCCCATCAGGTGTTGGCCTAGCCATGTACCCAGCACCTCAGAGATGGGGGGTGGGAGGGCTTTAAAGACTGGTAGTTCTGGAGTCAATACTGAAAAAGTGAGTATAAGGACCCAGTTGGGAGGGAGGAAAGGGTAAATGTAATATATAAAATAATACAAAATTTCTGGGGAAACAAAAGATGACCCTACTTTATAAAATCACAAGATATGACTTAGAACAAGTCAATTCTACTGTAAAAAGATGGGCATTAAGGGTGGGTGCTAAGGGGAAATGTGTGTAAACTCAGGGATCTAGTTCCCCCAAAACAAGGACAAAGCAATTTAATGCTTTAGAGTTTTCTGCGATACAGAGGTTCATCTGCTGATTAAAATAAAGGAAGTGAGAAGATCAGAAATTTGATAGAAATAGAGAATATTTGAGAGTTATGCCAAAAAGTAAGAGCGGGTGTAGATGAGAGAGATCTAAGACATCACAAAACCCTTGAGAGCTTTGAAATCTGAAGGCACTAATGAGAGCCTGAGAGCAAGCAGCTCATCTATTGCGCTCCGGACTGGGGAGACCATGCCCACATGCACTGTTGGAGTTTCTAGCCATCACAACGGACTATCGGGAACAAGGATAAGGCCAGGCTAAGGAGAGGGGAAGCTGTTAAAGTGCCCTCCGTACAAGCATCAGAACAAGAGTTCCAATCCCAAGCACCCACGTGAAAGCCAGCTGTGTTCCTATTCACCTGTAACTTCAGTGCTAGGTGGGAGGCAGGGAGCCAGGAGGAGTCCTGGAGCTCACTGGTCAGCCAACATACCCAAATTAATGGGTTTAGGGGTTCAGTGGAAGAGCCTGACTCAAAAAACCCACAAATGAGATGATTCAGGATAATGAACATTAAGCTTTAGTTCCACATGCATATTCATATATGTATACAGAGAGAGAGAGAGAGAACAGGATTGGGGAGATGGCTCAATTGGTAAAGTTATTGCACACAATCATGAGGACCTGAGTTCAATCCCAGCACCCATAAAAACAGGTTACTGCCATTGCTCCAGGTTACCCCACTGAAACGTGACAATATGATCCTATGGCTAAAAACACCACCGTCTTTGATCACAGAACATGGAGAAATCAAGCTGGTACTGACCCACGAGCTTCCTTCCTGCTAGCTGGGTTTTATATGCAGACTGTTGGAGAAAACCCATCAACAGTCGGACGCAGCTATGAACCTTGCAAACAACAACGACCGACCTGATGAGAGACAGCCATGTGTGCAAGAGTGGCATGAGCGCTGGGGGGCGGGGAGGTGGTCCACAGCTCTCTAATCACACTGAAGCCCTGTCCTACACAGGAGACTCATCCCTGGAACTATTATCAAGACCACGACCCTGTGCTGATGAGATCACAGGCCAGACTACTATTAGTCTGCTGAGTAGGCACAGAATTAAAGTGCCTCCTAAGTATGTCCTTATAGGCAGTATAACTCCCAACTTCACCAGAGAAGCCCCTTCATGCAGTGCATAGTGATTAATAGAGAGATGAACAACCAGTCCAAGTACGGAGAATTATGTGCCCATAGAAGGCTCTGTCCAAAACAGGACATCCAGGTCACACACTTTCCTCCACAAGGCTGGGAGAACACTGTAGAAGAAGGAGTAGAAATACTCTTAAGTCAAATGTCAGGAAAGACTACTGCAAAGGTATGTCCTTTGGACACTCATGACCGCACCGCAGCTGTGGTTGACAACACAAGACCTGCACAAGATCAAGCCAATCAATATTGCCGAGTGGAGAGCAAGGCCTCGCCCTGAGTTAAGGAGTTACTGGCAATTGATTACTGCTAGAAAGGCAGACTCAGTCTTCTGCAGCAGTGTGGTAGGGTTGTCCCTGTTCCACTGGGTGGCGCCCTACACCTATGTGCACACCAGCAGCACAGACTGAGTGAATGGGTGGAGGGGTAGAAGAAGAGGTAGAAGAGGAAGAAGAGAAAGAACAAGAAGAAGGCAGGAAGGAGGAAGGGGATAAGGTAGTGTGGAAGGAATCAAAGAGTAGGCAATGAGTGTCCATACAATCTAAATACATTGAATTCATGCACACAATTACTAAAGAATAAATTAAAATGTAAAAAGCCTCTGAAGCCAAGAACACAAGCACATATCATCCCACTGCTAGGGAGTCAAGAGAATCCCTGGGGGTTTAGTCAGCCCATCTAGTTGAGTCATCAAGTTCCAGCCCAATGAGAGACCCTGCCTCTAAAAATAAGGTGGAGAGCAATTGAGGCAGACACCTGACATCGAACTCTGGTCTCCACACAGATAGATGCACACATTCTTGTACCTACACACACGACAGAGTACACACATCTAACACATTTTCTTGTACCTGCACACATGAAAGAGTACACATACCTAACACACATTCTTGTACTTGCACACATGATTGACTATACACATCTACCAAAAGACAGAGATGCACACATTCTTTTATCTGCACACATGAGAGAGCACACACATGAGAGAGCATATACATCTAACACATATTCTTGTACCTGCACCCATGAACAAGTACACACATCTAACACAAGTTCTTGTACCTGTGCCCATGAACAAGTACACACATCTAACACACCTAACACACATTCTTGTACCTGCATGCATGAGTGAGTACACACATCTACCAAAAGACAGAAATATACTAAGACACATAAAATCAAAACAGCCAGAAAGGTATTTTCAAATCAGAAATCAGCTAAACAAACACCAGGAAAGCCAAAATAAAGTAAATCTGGAACTGATTTCTATATGCAAAGGAGATCAGCGCATTCTAATTAATTTATTTGATTCCTTTTAAAACAACAGCAGTCAGTTTCTGGATAACACTTCTCTGAATACTTTTACAAAGGGATTTACAGTAAGTCTCATAAAAAAAATTGATGTTGAGCAGCAAAGACATCTTTTAACAAAGAATTCTTCATGAAGTAGTTCAAACTGTAAAAACATAGGCATCTGATCGGAGCCTTTACAAACACAACACCATTTTCTAGGACACAGCTGTCTTAGGGTTTCTAATGCTGTGATAAAACACTATGACCTAAATCATCTTGGAGAAGAAAGGGTTTATTTTGCTTACATTTCCAGGTAACCGTCCATCACTGAGGGAAGTCAGGGAAGAAACTCAAGCAGGGCAGGAACCTGGAGGCAGGAACTGAAGCAGAGGCCATGGAGGAACACTGCTTACGGGCTTGCTCTGCATGACTTCCTTCCTCAGTTTGCTTTCTTATTGCACCCAGGCCCAGTACCCACGGGTGGCACTGTCCTCAGCAAGCTAGACCATCCCACATCAATCAAATGCACCACAGGCTTGCCCATAGACCAGCCTGGTGGGGGCATTTTCTTAGCTGAGGTTCCCTCTTCTCAGATGACTCTAGTATGTGTCAAGTGGACATGAAACTAGTCATTGAACATCACATTTTATAGAAATACAAAAAGTTTTCCAGAGTCATATGATGTAACTACACGAAATTCCACCATTTTTGGAAATGCCATATCCACAACAGCATGTAACAAGTATTTCTGTAAAAAGACATCCATGAGCCTGTATTCTTTCAGATGGTATTTCTGTTACTCACTCAGACTTCTTTTCACAGGTCTCAGAAGATTCTTCAATCCTCTTCTCCAGCTCCAGGACAGCCTCCTCCTTGTTTAAGAGCATCTGCTGTGTCTGCATGAGTTCTTCTGCTAAAGTCTTCAACCTGGAAGGAGGAGCCACCATTACCAACAACACATTAAATGTGCTGATCTGCACATACATAAACTTATGAAGTCGCAAAGTCTGAAAGAGCAGCCACCTGGAATCTACTTTAAGGTAAAATTGCAGTTTCTTGGTTACATTAGCCATGTTCCAGATGCTAAACAGAAATGTGGCTACTTTACTTTCTACTGGATGACACAGAAAAATTTCAATACTCAAAGTGAGTATTCTGGAAACTAGATAAAACTGTATGTAATGTTAAGAGTCAATGGCGTATGAGTGAAACACACATCTATGAATAGTGTCTGTAAGCTTGGATGAGGAAACTAGTGCTCTTGAAAAGTGGTATCCACAGTCTTATTCCTTTGCTTGTTTGTTTGTTTGTTTGTTTGTTTGTATACAGGGCTTCTGTAGCCCTGGCTGTCCTGGAACTCGCTGTGTGGACCAAGTCTCAAACTCAGAGATCTGCCTGCCTCTCTGGGATTAAAGGTGTGCAAGAACACAACCAGTTAGTTCTTAAAATTGAAGAGACAAAAAAAGTCAGGAAAGATTAAAAAAAAAAAAGGACTAAATATCATGTCATATCACATCCTAGGAAAAGTATGCTTTTGTGAAAAGATCACACTTTTTTGTTTTCACATTAACATATATTTGCATTCTGGCTGTGCCCATCTATCTGAGACTCAGAAAATTCTTCAGCTCACAAACTCTTCTCATCTGTAATTCTGGCACTGAAATAACTGCTTCATTAGCATTGTTTTTAGAGACAACTGAAGTAATGCATTACATACATTATAAATTAACTACATTTTGGTAGGGTAAGTGGTAATCAGTATATTTTTCATATATTACCTTTTTTACTCTTTGTAACAATCTTCTATGAGAGATATTATTACATTTATTTTATTTTAAAGAAAAGAAGTGAGAATCAGTAGTTTGGCAGTTGAAACTGATGATAAACTACTTCTATGTTCACATATTATACTGACTTAGAAGTATCCTCTATTAGATTTAAAGATAATTTAATATACAAATTTAATATGTACTCATGGGTCAAATAACTTATGGCTGCATAAAATGTATTCAATCCTTAATGGAAATATTTCTACCATACACACACACACACACACACACACACACACACACACACACACCCCTATCATATCATATTAAAACTTATCTTCAGACTTTCAAAACAAGACATTCAGGGAGGTTTGAACTCTTGGGAAGATGTGTCTGTCCCTCTCCAGGAAGGTAACAATGATTAACTACCTCCTGTGGTAATTCGGGTCAGACACTAGAGGAGAGATAAGCAAAGACTTGGTACAAGTGTACAGCATCATTGAAGTGACCGACTGGGGAAAATCCCTATTTATCATCTCATGTGTATGCGTGACTGGAAGTATATATACTAAAATTATGGGATATATAGCCCGTGCACTTGTAGTTATATGACAGTACCTACCCATTTGTCAATCAGGGTAAAGATCTATCCCAATTGTTTCCCCCGAGGAACACTCTTTCTTCGACCTACACTTATAAAATCGAACTCCTAAAACAAACTCAGACTCTTGAGTTACACACTTGCTTGGGCTAGCTCCCATTGGATGGCATGTGCTCCATACTTTTACTCTCACTTTTAATAAATGTATGCATTCACTACTACTATTCCATGTCTTTTCCAATTCATTGCTCAAGACACAAAGAACCTAGACTTCATGTCATAGAACAAGAGGAAGTCAAAAATACACAAAGAATATCAAATTACCTCATTCTAAATTTGTTTAAAGTGAAAGAGTTCAAAGTAAAAACTCTAAAGTACGAGTTATAAGTAAAAGCCTTCTTACTACAGAAATCTCCTAGATAGAAGGGAATCTATTACAGAAATAGAAAAGAACACAAGTAGAGGTCCATCAAGAAAAATACTCAGATCTGCAAGGTTCAACTGTGGACGAGGACACTTCCTGTGACTCCATGACCAGCATCTGGGCAGCAATGGAGAAATCCTATTTCAAGGACTCTAGGAATCAAGAAGAGACAGGAAAACCAAGCAGCTGGAAGAAGCAGGAAGGAAGCTTAAGTTAAAGTATTCCCCAGCTCCAACCAGACTGCCCAGCAGAGAGAGTGAGGCCCCAACGCCCTCTGCACAAGACAGTGCAAAATGTGGAATGTGGACAAACCCAACAGTAACAACAGGCTGCTGTCCCAGGAGAGGGCAAACCCACTTTTCCCATGAGTCCTAAAGGTGGTGGAGGATTCAAAGTCTCAGAAGGACTCCTGTGTGACAGGCTGGCTTTGGAGAAGAAACCCATCTCTCAGAGTGTGGCAAAGAGGTACCATAGGGAGAAGGCTCCTATCCTTAGGAACCAAACTACTCATGGCATCACAAAACTTAAGACAATCACAAGTCAGGGATCCTAGGGCCACTCTGCTACGTGGCAGGGACAAGGTGGGGGATGCCATGAGTCACAGCTGTAAAATGAGGAGAGATTCTGTTATAAACCTAACAAAAAGTTTAAACAACAGAGTGAGAACCACAGAAGGAACAGTTGTCAGGGGGTCCTGCCTTCAAAAGAAGAGACAGCAAAGGCACATGTTCAGCTTGGCCATATTTCTAAACTCTCCCCATCCCCTGCATCAGCCCCCAGCACTCCCTCCCACACTCCTTCAGGCATTCAGAAACACTCTTCAGCTTGGACATTTACCATGCCCTCCGGGACACAAATTGGGGGTCTCTGGAGTGAGTGTGCCTGCCTAGCCCATGCACATCTGAAGATAATGGGGGCTGTGGTACAAATACGACAAGCCTATGGAGTGAGTGAACACAGACAACCCTGCTAGAAGAGCATGCCCTCAGACTGCCCAGCAGAACTCACTACAGCAGGCCGGCCTGCCCCCTCCCACACCACGCGCACTCGGTTCCAGTTAGTAGATAATCCAGAAGCTTCTCCAATCCAAGGATCTTGACAACAAGGACTTCTCCAACACTTTCATTTCGTTCAGTATTTTCTTGCTTCTATCTAATTGTATTTATTTTCCATTGGTTTTCCCTCTCTGACATACTTTCTCACAAGTCATTCTTTCATTCCTTTCCTTGCTTTACCATCTTTAACATTTCAGAACCTCTATCATTTTTGCCCTTCTTCTCCATTCTCATTGGTCTGTAGTGGTTGTTCTTAACTGGCTCACACAGCATTTCCAATCTGATGTGAGCCCATGTAGTCACTGTGTCTGGTTTTCCTCTCTGGACACCTCTGGGGACTGAGGCCAGCACCTCAAAGACTTTGGGAGGGGGCTTTGTTGCTGAGCTACACACCATCCCAGCTGAGAAAAACTGTACTTTACTCTCTACCCATGACCTAATCCCAGCCAAACCTTTCCAGATAAAGGACACAACAACCCCCAGCTGACAATTCAGTCCCAAGAAGCCACAAACAGAGGGAGTCTAGAGTCCTGCTCCCAGACATTCCCCACTTAGCAAGAGCAGGGTGACAAACGATTGGAGAAATAGCACGTACGGGGAACTGAGTACGGATGGTTCCCATTCCCTAGAACACACTGCTGACTAGTGGAGAACTAGCTACAGAGTGCCCTCTCTGTACACCACTCTATAACATCACACACATAAATGAAATACCATAATGAAACTCATCAATATTATAATATATGCTAATAAAAACATTACAAAGTGTAAGAGAGACATTCTTTACATTTATACATCCCTACAGATGTATAAATCTAAGTATAGAATCACAAGAAACATGAAAAACAAGTTAACACGAGTTCCCCAAAACTCCCTAATTTCCTAGTAAATGACGCCAAAAATACCCAAATGAATGATATGCTAGACAAAGAATTCAGAAGACCGATTTTAAAAATGATCAATGAATGTAAAGAGGATACAAAAAAACAGCTGACTAAATTAAGGAACACAGATAGACTATGAAAGAGCAATTAAATAATGAGATTCTCAAAAAGAACTAAACAGTAATGCTGAAAAGTAAAGGCTCAATGAATCAAATAAAAAATCTCAGTTTAAATCTTCATCCATAGACTGCTCAAGGAGTGGAAGACTACTTAGGTTTGAAAATATATCACTATATTCAGATAATAAAAAAGGAAACAAGTAAAATAACCCAGCAAGATGGTCAGAAGGGAAAGGCACCTGAGGACCTGATTTTATCTCTAGAATCTATACCACATATCTTAGGGTTTCTACTATTGCAAAACCAAAAAAAAAAAAAAAAAAAAAAAAAAAAAAAAAAAAAAAAAAAACCACCATGATCAAAAACCAAGTTGAGGAGGAAAAGGTTTATTAGGCTTACACTACAGCATTGCTGTTCATCACTGAAGGAAGTCAGGACAGGATCCAGGAAGCAGGAGCTGATACAGAGGCCGTGGAGGGGTGCTGCTTACTGGCTTGCTCAGCCTGCTTTCTTACAGAATTCAGGACCAGCAGCCCAGGGATGGCCCCACCCACCATGGGCCGGGCCCTTCACCACTGATCACTAAATGAGAAAATGCCTTACAGCTGGATCTCATGGAGGCATTTCCTCAACTGAGGCTCCTTCCTCTGATGACTCTAGCTTGTGTCAAGTTGACACACAAAACCAGCCAATGACCACCTGTCAACTTGACACACATACATCACTTTTAAGCTACATCCCTTCATTTCTTACTTATCCCCAAGATCTCACATTAAAATCATAAGTAATTTTAAAAGTCCCACAGTCTTTAAAAATTCAGTCTTTAAGTTTTTAGTCTTTTTAAAATATCCAATCTCTTTTAAAAGTCCACCGCTTCCATCTGTGGGCTCCTTTAAAATCAAAAGTAAATACCTTCTTCAAGAGGGAAGAACCAGGGCACTGTCACAGTCTGAACCAAGTAAAACCGAACATCAACAGTGTAAATAACTCAATATCCAATTATCTGGGATCCACTCACGATCTTCTGGACTCCTCCAAAGGGCTTGGGTCACTTCTCCAGCTCTGCCCTCTGCAG